AAATGCTAAGCAGTCATCTATAAGTGGCTTGGATATGAATGAACGGACCCAGTCGAGAGCCAAGCAAGTGGTGAAGCTATTCTGGCAGCATCAGCCTCCGTTCCGCGAGGCTGTCTCCAGGTCCGTGTCGCCGCGTCGTGTCCTGTGCTCTCTCCCTCTCCGTCGCCAGGTCCTATTTCCCTCGGAGACGCTTCGCTTCATCTCGTGCCGCATCGCCCGAAGGATTGTCCAAGAAAATGACTTGTGGTGAATGAATCCACACCGATCACAAAGTGGCATGACAAGGCCTGCAGAATCAAAAGCCTTGGCGAAGGATTCACTTGACAATGTTGTGCTGGGCTGATTGTATGGTTCTCCAGGCATTCATGTCTGCCATTAGCTGGGTTGTTGTGAGCTTCATCAAACTGTCTGACTAATCGGCCAACGCCTTCCATTCTCGTGCAGGATACGCAACCGAAGGAAGGTTCGTTGGCCTCTGTCTCGACAGGTGCCTCCCGTCGACGCGCGCTAAGTCTCAGGGGCCCTACAGGGGATTAACTCGCTTAACGTTCGGGACAGTCAGATCCTTAGGGGCTCCCTAACGCCAGCAGTGTTCTCCCGAAGGGGTAGGTCAGACGTGTGAAGGCCGCTGACTTTGTTTTTACGCAGGGGGTTGAGCTGTTGTTGCAAGGTCCACTGTGGAGGTTTCTATGCACGCATCCCTTTTTGGTGGCTTTGATGATGGGAAACAGCAAGTCTCATGCATTCCCATGATTCAACCGCTGCCAGTTTGCACCTGCCTTAGAATACAGTCACTGCCCCCTGGGAAGAGCCAACAACCAACACTAACGTTGTTTCTTGGCAACATCCATATCTCTTCAACTTTTCAAGACAGCTTCATGCTCACCGCGTCATTCCAGTCAGCCACGATTTCATCAAATAAGCCACAGTCCTCGGGTTCGCTATCGGATTCGCTAGCTTTCTCTGTTCCGCTGAGCTGGGCATTCGCCGAACCGTGCAGGAGGCTGTAGAGATCGACAGATTTTCTTCAAGCTTCAACCTTGTTCTCCCACCGACCAGTTCTGGAAGCGACCCCGGCAGCTGCTAGCTCCTCTTCCCCGACCAATAGAAGCGCTAGATTCTGTCCCAGCTTTCCCAGCCATCATCATCCCGCTTGGCTTGCCGGTCAGTTGGGACAGCCTGAGGCTTGTCTGGTTCGGTAGTATGGACGTGGAGTAACGAACGAATCTGTCCAAACTGCCGTCTGTTTTGCGACTATGACGCTCACTCCCAAAAGAAACAATGCTGACAGCCCTCGCAAACTCCCAGCCCAGATGATCTGCAATGTCTGGCATTTGGTCATGCCGACACTGCGAGAGAGCCTCATTTCCACCCGAGCCGTGCTTCGATCCAAGACAAGCTTCCAACATCTGCGCAGCCTGGCAGCCCCATATTCGACGTTCAGTGCATCTAAGTTGATGCTGCTCGTGTCTTTGCGCATGTTGCGACCGCCGTGCGCTATGCAAGCCTCATGCCTGGTGGCAGACTTGTCTCACCACCTCTAATAGTTCGGCACCTACTGGATAATTATTATCCGGCCCAGCTTGTGTTGGCTCCACCAAAACAACAAGAGCAGCACGAGTTGCGTTGCATCACGGTGCATCACGGAGCCCCGAGAATCTTTTTCCCGTCGAAACATCCCACCTCACCTCCCTATCCGCCCCAGTCAATGCTTCGATCCAACTTATGAGGGACGCCTGAAACAACACCAGTTTGCAATCTCTCTTGATATCAAGCTTCGCGCGACTCATCCACTCAAGTGATCCACAACTCACTGCCGGTATACGAGTGGTACCCCGCCGATCAGCGCCCATCCCACACCAGACACCGACGGCGTGGCCGGCTGTGCCTCAGGACTAACGTCAAGGTGCCAAAGCATGTCGCTGCTAGATCCGGGTCGTGAGAAAGGTCCGAGACTACGGAGGCTCGGCAGTGACGTGAGTTCTACGGCAGGCAATCGGGGGATGGTCCGAAGTATGACCGTTTCATCAGCCTGGCATCTTCTGACGGGAACGTCGAGGGTACATCCCGAAGTGGTAGAGTTGCCCAGGATGCTTAGGTGCTAGGTAGGGCTGGGTTGCAATCGTGGGATCCTGGGGGTCGAGAACGACTACTCCAGGTTGGATGCTGCAGTTGACTTAAGACTTAACGGAATAGGGAATGGAGATCATATCGAGCAGAATGACAGCTTGCAGAAGAGCATGCACAGCAACCTTGTCGTGCATAATGCGCACATCACTCGAGCGTGTGCTGCAGCACACTCGCCGGCCAGATCAAGTGACAGGTGAGGGAGGACTTGGGCAACATGATCTTCGTCTGAAATGACATGGAAAAGGATACGAAAACCGACGTCGTCTCCGAGTCTACAGCAACAACGGGTTCTAGTTAGTCCAGCGCTTCGAGCTACCATGACCAAGGACGCCATTCGAAAACAAGTGTGGGCGGAATAGGTTCAATTCCGCGCACACGAATAGGCGCTTGATTCTTCTTGGCGCTGACTTGTCTTGCCGGGCGTGGCTGACGACGGCGCGGCCACGACGAAATAGCAAAAGCAAAGTAAGGGACTTCGCACGTGTCGTCGCTTAAAGTTTGACACGCGCGGTCTGAAGACGGCTCGTCTGGCTTTGTCTCAACAGCACATTGCCAAGGGTTGGATGCTAATCCTTGGACGGATCGTTCATCCGCTATTCACCCGTTCTCGGACCGGCAACGCAACTGCAACTGCAGTGCAGCATCGGGTTGAACATGGTTGAAACAGACTCGAGGTTCTGTCCCAAGGCTGTCCCAAGGCTGTCCCAAGAGGCACAGGGCCCTGCTACATCTGTCTGTATTCACACGCACCAACCAGAGTGACCACAACTGTCAGAGTGAGGGATCTCGATTGTTGCCTTGGACCACCAACTTGGGGAGAAGCAAGGTGCTGGACGGGTTGGCTTCATTCCCTTGTACCCTCCCTCATGAAAAAGCTCGGTCGATCACTGCACGCCCACCTCCTTGGCCCGCGCCAAGAAATCCCGCCAGTGTAAGCGAGGAAGGGGAGCGCCCGCTAAAACGACGATCGTCCAAATTAGCCTGCCTGCCCAGTGACGACAGAGGGAAAGGCGTTGTCGAAAACGACCAAAATGTCAGTTGCAGCATGGGGCCCTTGCCGCTGCCCAAACACAGCCAGTACGGCGGCATTACGCAGTGCCGGAACGCCGTCGTTGCGTCGGCCCCAGCTCGCTTACAGAATCACAACTCTACGGCACGAGACCAGTGCAAGAGAATCTGCAGCGGGTAGGCAACACGGCACCCGTCATGCGTTGATGGGTTCGGATTTGTGAGGACATGGACGTAGATCAACTTGTCCTGCTACGGTGCCAGGGCAGAAGACCAATACCAGCACAATTAATGTCCGGCAAAGGGGAGCTGCCCAGCCAACTCGTCTAGTTTCAAGCTTGAGGGCATAACAGAATAAATGTGAAGCACTCACCAGAGTTGCAGATCAGAACATGGCTAAATTATTGCGTGCCGGACAAGAAACAAGGTCACAGTCCAAATCTCAGACACGAGCTGTTAGATGGCGGTCGGCATGAAGAATGCTTGCTCTCCCGGGCATCAAAGAGACGCGCAACAATGTGGGAGGTTTCGTGCCAAACAGTGGTTTCGAGTCAATCAACGTCTCAAGGTGCTCCCTGGCGACTCGAGAGTGGACGCGCCAGTCCAGCTCTGGGGTAGTAGAAGCATATGGGACTTCTACGCGCAAGCCACAGCGACCAAACCGGGGTGGAGGGAGAGCCTGAGGGGTTCAGTATTCGGGACGGCACTGACACCCAAAAGGGGAAATAGTGGCCCGGGAGTCGATGCAGCGCGGCGGCCGGGATGGCACGCTTGGCCGAAAGTTAGATGGACACCTCTACCTGTGCCTTGGTTATCTCGGCCGGGCGAGTGCGTCACCGGCGCCGGCGCCGAGGTGTAGTTTACTGGGCCAGAGGTCACTGCGCAAAAACCCTAACGATACAGTCGACTTCAGCGAACTGAGGTATGCTCGAGAAGCGGTCGTTTTCAAGGAACAGAGAAACGGACAATGTAGTAAGTGGACTGAACCAAGATGACTGTGGTTAATGCCATCGACACCCCGAGAGAGCCACAGCCAGGGAACAGGGATGAGGGCGATTTTCCTGTGCATCAAACCAGCCTATTGACCGTTTGACCACGGGGCGATCCATGAACATCCTGGCGCATGGCAAAGAGTTTTGGTACACACTCCCGGATCTCACCCACACCCACCCTTTCCACTCACCTCGGCATCCCACACACCCTCTGGGCCTTTGGGACCCTCCCCCTGCTCAGGATCACCACGAGAGTCATCACAACATTTCCTCTCAAGGTGGGGACGTCACTGCCGGGACAGATGTTCGACAATGACCCTGGAGGCTAGGCCCATCGAGCGGCACCAGGGAACCTCCCGTCAGCGTCACCGGCCCTCCCCTTGCCTATCGTCTGCTCTCAAACCCTGCCGCCAACGATGCCCTTCAGTCCCAGGCCCTGGCGCACCGGTAGGGCCCACTCCCAATTTTGTGACAGCTGCGCTTGGAAGAAGGGCCTTTTGGAGGGGGCGTGCGAGGGTGTAGGCTCAGCAAAGGCGTCGACGGCTTTCAGATCTGATAGACGGGTCCCCTCCACTTTGACAGGTTCCTTTCCCGGACCAGAGAGTTACTTAAGTTCCCAAGCCCCCGACAACTTGGCTGCGAACACCAGCTTTTGGCGAACCCTTCACATCGAACTCGAACTTTGGCAACTCTATAGGCTCTTTAATCTCAGCCAGAGCCATTACTTCTTCCTTCTAATACAAGCAGCCCCTCCCTACTTGGCGCTGCTCTTTCTTGCCTTAATACACGGAACAGCACTGACCGACACTGACGAACCAACCACTTTTGGTCCGACGCTTGGAAACGCCGTGATTAATCCTACAAACACAAATGCATACATCAACTTCTATGTTTATGCCTGGTCAATACAATCCTCAACCCGAAACTCACTACACTCCTCGACACAAGCCGAATCCTCCTCCGTCGCCCCCAATGGAAGACTACAAGTGCTCTCTGCCTTCCATCTCAAACCTTTTGGGTTTGGCTGATGCTGGCTCCCCCACGAGCGAAGCCTCCCCCGCCTCACGGCAACATTCTCCTCGATTCGAAGGTGAGTGGCTTTCCTGGAGAACAAGGTAAAAGGAATGGTGACTCACATTCCTACAGCTACTCCTGCTCCGTCTCATACCCGATCTGGATCAGAATGGGCAAAGTCATCGCACCGCGGACTGCCCCCAACACCCCCCATGGGCACAGATGCTTCATTCGAACCAGCCAACTCTCCTGCAAGGAAGCACTCGAGTCAAGCGTATCCTGGGTCGGTTTCAAGAGCCTACTATTACGAGACGACACCGCCACTGGAACCTGATGTTCAACGCCAGCCAACTGTCGCGGCCATCCCTCGAGCGACACCTCCTGCTCCGGCCTACCCTCAGCAGCCCTACTCCACCACCTACGTCAACCAGCCTCCGATGGGTACATACTACCCTCCGGCACAGCACCCTGGTGCTACCCCTGCTCCAGAAATGAGCCCCTACTATCAACGTCCTCTCCCCCAGGCGTACCCTCCTCCAGTAGCAATGCCGGCACCTGCTCCATCAGGAGCAAACCCGTGGCAGCATCACCATTACCTCAACCCAACAGGCGCAGCAGCTTTCCCTCAGAGCCAGGACCGATACATCTGCCCAACATGCAACAAGGCATTCAGTCGACCAAGCAGCCTAAGGATCCACAGCCACTCGCACACTGGAGAGAAGCCATTCAAGTGCCCACATGCCGGATGTGGCAAGGCATTCAGCGTACGCAGCAACATGAAGCGTCACGAGAGGGGCTGCCATAGCTTCGAGTTCAACGGCTCCGTTATGCGAGGCTAAATGGCCAAGGAAGATGATGACTGCAGTGGTCGATGAGCGACGCATCATGGAACGATAATTCGGTGATACGATTTCGATATTTTCTCCAACATTGTCATGGGGGTGGGGGTCTCACTGAGTCCTTGGTTTGGGAGGCTCAGCTGGCACGGCGTTGCGGATAGGGTGGGAAAGGAAGGGGAACAGGACAGGGAGGGAAGGAAAAGCTACATTCGCTTCACGACCTGGATCTGTATTACTGGACACTCTGTTTTGTGGTGCTTTACTTTGTTGTTTTTGTTTGTTTATTTGTCGGGGCCCGTTGAAACTCCTGGGAGCGGGCGAGGTCACTTAGACGGCGTACAGTTGGAACTTGGGTTGATGGCCTAGCGAAGCATTATGCATGGCGTTTTTTGGACGAGGGCATCGACTGATAGGAGTCGATGCGAGCGACAGACAGAGCAGAGCAATTAAGCAGAAGAAGGCCAAGGCTATTTCCGCCGTGGGTCTAAACAATATCAAGACATTTTGAGATTCATGCGCTTAATGGGTTGAGCAGTCCGTGCGGTATAGCTACGTGTAAAGCGAGTATAGCGGTCATTTCCGAGATTTTGTGTGTCCTGCGTATGTGCGGCTGTTCGTAAGTGGACCAATTGAGGGAGATTATGGAAGTTCTAGACTTAGTTGAGAGAGGGGAAGAAACAGAGGGAATAAATGACGTCTAGATTTCCTAGTGTCTGTTTGTACGAGATGGCGGTTGAGCCAGGAGGTGCATATTGTGGAGGTTTTGCGGTTGGTGGTGGAAGAGTCGTGCGTGACAGTGTCGCTGTTGGTTTGCCAAAAAGGGAGTGAGACATTAGGAACGAAGAACGAGATGAGCAAAACCTGATTGGTTGCTGGGCGCTAGAGACTTCCTTGCCATTATTGAATAATTTGTATTTTATTTCTTATGCCGATTGCTACTGTAAACAAGAAATAGGTAGCATGAATCCCAACAACTAGAGTTTGACAGGACCCTTGCTCTGGAGATCCATCGCCAGTGTCACTTGAGCCTCCAAGAGTGTGACGTCGTCGTCGACTACAATGCCTCGAGGCGGAGAAATACAGGGGGCTCAAGAAACGACCAGCAACAACTTCCTTGGAAGACTCGCTTGGGTACGAAGCTGACATTGGGGCGACGACCATGTCCTACGAGGGCCCAGCTCGAAGTCCATGGTCGCTGAGCCGAGTTCCCGAGGGCTTTTCTAGCAACATGATCCATCCATACCAAACGGGCTTATATCGCCTTACATGTGCAACGACGAACAGTACGCGCCGTCAAAACCCAGAAAGGGCTGTTGCATGCGCGCCAAAAGGGAACCCAGGCCCAGCGGCGGGTAGGGGTAAACCTGGGGATTCTCTGGTCAGGGCTTTTGGACGGACCGGTTCGGGATGCTGCTCCGCCCGCCTCGTGTCGTTTTTTTCTGGAGTTCTTGTCCTGTGCTCAAGTCAAGTCATGCTGGGACAGGGACGTCAGAAAAGTTGAACGGGCTGGGGGGTCTAGTAGACATGGATGCTGCTTGGAATGATCGGCCTGGATCATGGGCGTGTCAAAGGTGTGTTAGCGAGGGTGGAAGAAATGGCCGGCCGAGTGGGATAGGGTATTATCGTTTGGCTCCTCCGTGCTTGATATTCCCCCATTGCACGACTCATTTAACAGCACCGGCAGTGAAGCTTCGAGGCCGATCACTTGCGCTCGTGCTTTAGCCTAGTACCTGACACTGACACGCGCGAACAATTTAAGGTCGGCGAAGAGGATTCCCGACAGAGATAGGCGTTGTTGCCCGTGTTGGCGTTGGCGGTGTGAACGGGGCAAGCTCATATGACATGATGATGGTCTGGCTGACGATGGCCTCGTCTTTGCTCGATGGATGATGCTCGCTCCGAGGGGAGAATCGGGGCTCTCATCAGCGCCCTTCTTTTCTATGCAAATGTCACGTTGAAAAAAAGACGGGAACACGGCGCGGCAAGGCGGGAGACGTCATCTACGGGCGCAGGCAGAGTTAATTTCAACATGCGAAGAATTCCATTTTCGTTCATCTCTTTCTGTGCTTTGACGTTTGTACTTCTTTTTTTGTTTGTCTGTATGGATGTCTTTTTACATGGAAAGCGTTGAAGGGGGATCCCATCAAGGCCACGTTTTCTGGGACTTAGGTACCCTCCCAACAACGGTCGGTGGGGAAGAGAATTGCTGATGGAAGAAAGAGGGGACAGGACGACGTCAATTGGAAGGGGAGAGGGAAATCGCAGGGCAGCTATCGTTGTTACAGGGTGAGTGCTTGTCGAGGACCAAAGCAGTGGATGAGATGGATATGGGTTGGTTGAGGGGAGATCCATGGGGGTTGTACAAGACCAGAACAACGTGCAGGAGCAGCAGCAGGAGCAGCGGGATGTGGATGTGCAGGATCCGCGGGTTGGGGTGTGTGAAAGAGTGAGTGTGTGTGGGAGGGTGCCTGCCCTGTCTGTGTTCCCGAACAAAAAGAAAAGAGCTTCGAGATGCGCTTCCAAGAAGGATCCACATCTTGCCGGGGCTCCGATTCGATTCATTCTACACACCACCCTCCACACCACCCCCCCGGAGATCCGTTCCCAGGGGTTTTTTCTTTCTTTCTTGGCGTCCTGTCGCGCTAAACCCCAGCAGGCCAGAAGGGCCAGACGCCCGTGGCCGGGGTTCTGGTTCCAGCGGGTAAAGGCTGCCAATTGGGTCCCTGAAACCCCACTCAACCCTCTTTTTTCTTTCTTCCACTGCCGGAGTCAGGATTTCCCGTCCACGACAGCAGGATGAGGCCTGTTTGTTTGGGTGGATGCTTTTTGCGGGAAATATTCCTGGGTAGAACCATTCTCATGGTCTTGCATGTTTCTCTACTGCTCTTCATTAAAGATGAAATCCTTCCATCGTGAAAATTGGCTTCTTCTTTTTGCGGTGAATGAATGATTCTGGCGTGACTGTTACAACACTCACTCCTCTCCATCAGAGTCTGAGCAACATCTCTCCTGCATCAAGGTTTTTGGCCTTCTACCTATAGTTGGGATGAATTATAGAAAGGGAATCCTTACCTATCGGGGACTTTTTGCGTCCCGCCGGCTCAAACTTAGATACTGTCACATACGAGGACTTCATCTTGTTTGAGTTGCCTCCTTCCCTGCTTGTGCCCAACCTATTGTCCTTGAGCTATTCCTATTTTCGGAATTATATCCCACTCTCAAGTCCCTTCACTTCCAACTTCCTCCTCCATCATGACAATCATCGTCACCCCCCTACGCCCGCAGCGCATGGGCCCTCACAATTTCTAGCCACCGGTTTTCAATTGCCGGGACTCCCTAAGCCTGCTTTTGGCCCCTGAGATCTGGCCCATCTCCTGTTGTTGATGATGTTGTTACCTGTTACCTTTCGAGCTCCTCTTGGCAGTCCCGAGGGCGGCAATGGAAACACACACAAACACTGGGGAAAGGCATCACCCCATGTTCCCACTCGTAATGCCACCGGGACGGCCGGTGCAGCAAGGGACTTCCCAGATTCTACTTTGACAGGTGCGCGTCGATGCTGACCGTCTTTGCTCTCTCCATCTTTAGCTGCACATATCTGACTATGTACCAACATGGCAGTCTGTCGTCCAACTATCACGACGTCTGTGTCTCGTTCTCTGCTCTAAACTTGAGGACGTGGACTTGCAGCTCTTGCATGTAAAGTGTTGCTTCTGCTTCTGCATATGTCTTTAGATGGATCCTCGCTTACGAGTCTCCTGGATACCAACTGAAGCATGCCCACGCGCTTGGATCGCTGCAAGGCTGTCCGCTGCCTGTCCTGATGCCGACCTGATGGAGGATGTGACACAAGGTCTTCGTTCCCTGCAGCACATGGCGGTTCCATCCTCGCGGGATCGCTGGATAACCCTTCTTGACCAGTCAGCAGGGAAGCAACGTATCCCGAGTGGTCACCGTCGACGACATCCACCACTCACTCATTATCCTCGATCCCTCCCGTCGCTCAAGCCTCCCAAGATCATGGCCACGACCATGCCCATGACCACGGTCTGCGCATGCACCTTCCTGCTTGTGCCCCTCGGGTGACATGTCGTCAGGGTTCAACGGTCCCCGGCTATTAACCGTTGACGGAAAACTCCGCCACCATTCCTCTCGAGGGTTTGCCGACGGCGGCGTGAGCGTTGATATCCACTTCCACTTCCCACTCATACGGCACCATGAATTCATCCGTCCCTGCCTTGCCCGTCTGCCGTGTCTATTGATCGACGAGGACCCTCTTCCACGAGGCTTCTTGGATCCTTCAGCTAAGGCCTAGCCTGGCATGCCTGGCCGTGCGGCCCACGCTGCCCTGCCCAGCTCGGCCAACCCACACTATCCGTGCTTCCTGTCAACCCGACTTTACTTGAATCAACTCATTCTCCGTCTCCCTCTGCCGTCCGGCCACCGTCCAGCCGGGTCTCATCCATCGTAACCTACCTAACCCGGCTTCAAGATGACAAGGTATGGAAACTCTACGCCCCCTTGGTCTGCGCCAGCACGCGCCTGCACTGCACACACTGACTCAGGACCAGACACGGAGAATTCCATATCCCACGGCACCTTCATCCATCTGCCAGGGGTTCTTTGAGCCGCCAAGCTTCAACCAAAAGATCGGTCAGTCTCAGTCTCGGACGATATCACCTTGCTTGCCAGCCGAGCGAGGCTGGTACGACCCGGCGGGCTTGAGGCACGGTAAACCTTGATTCCTTCCTCTATTACGTGCCGGAAACCGATCCTGTTCCAGCTACGCCCCGTCAGAGTGGATGACGGAGTTGCTCCCTTCGGCCACCGAGATGATTTTCCTCCTCCCTCGGTTCCAGTACCATGTTTAGCCCTGGTAGATACGGGATCGACTTCGGGAATCGCATCAGGTCAGGTAAGGTCAGGCAGAGAGAGTTTGTGGAAACTGGGCAGCCGCAGCTGTAGGTGCAGCTTCAACTTTGGGAATGGGTGTTGTCCAG